GGAATTACCCAGACGGTTGTCGCACTAGCAAGAATCTTTGGCCCGGCGTCTGCAGCTTCGGTCTTCTCTTATTCATTGCAGGAACGGCATGATGCGTGGTTGTTATATTACTTCTTGATCGCAATTGCATTTCTCGCAGTGGGTACTGCTCTATTGATTCCCCGTGATCCTAGTGTATGGGAAGATCGCTATCGCGAATGACCCAGCGTAGGGAGGGAACTGGCAAAACTCTAGGCTACTATCGGTTATCACAACTTCGTACGGCCGCTGGTTCGGATACTTAGTTTGCAATATCTCGCTCAACTCTGCTTCGAATCATATTCTGCTCTACGGTCTACCACATATCATTGTACACTTGTAATATACTATTGCGAAGTTGAATCTTTGAAATTAGTCAAGGAATGATTGAGATCCTTGTTGAGATGTGATGGAGCCAAAAATCACGTCTGGCTGTCACCAATTGGATTAGGTACGAGGCACGAGCACGTGATACGAATAAGGTCTATGTGTGTTAGTACGAGCACTAGCACACACCCGTTGTGCCTTCGGCACAGGAAGCAAAAAGAGCGCTTCGCGCTCTTTGTTGGCTTCCTGGCCTTCGGCTTCATCCTACTTTGGGTGACTTAATAATTATTGCAGGTTTTGAAATAAATTATATTTTATTCACTGAGTTGTGATCAAAATTTCAAAATAAGTTACATACTTTGAGCAGTATTTTGACAAAAGTAAAAGTACAATTGAATATATGTATTTTCTCATCTACTGTTGTGTCTGGTGTTCTGTGCTCCATCCTCCCGTCCTGTTGTCCTCCTCCCGTCCTGTTGTCCTCCTCCCGTCCTGTTGTCCTCCTCCCGTCCTGTTGTCCTCCTCCTGTCCTGTTGTCCTCCTCCCGTCCTCCTGTCCTCCTCCTGTCCTCTTGTCCTCCTCCCGTCCTCCTGTCCTCCTCCTGTCCTCTTGTCCTCCTCCCGTCCTGTTGTCCTCCTCCCGTCCTGTTGTCCTCCTCCCGTCCTGTTGTCCTCCTCCCGTCCTGTTGTCCTCCTCCCGTCCTGTTGTCCTCCTCCCGTCCTGTTGTCCTCCTCCCGTCCTCCTGTCCTCCTCCCGTCCTCCTGTCCTCCTCCTGTCCTCTTGTCCTCCTCCCGTCCTCCTGTCCTCCTCCTGTCCTCTTGTCCTCCTCCTGTCCTCTTGTCCTCCTCCTGTCCTCCTGTCCTCTTGTCCTCCTCCCCTTCCCCCTTCTCCCATTTCCCCATTCTCCTGTTCTCCTGTTTTTCCCATTCTTCTATTTTCCCTTTCTCCTGTTTTCCTGTTCTCTGTTCTCCTATTCTCCTATTTTCCCCATTTTCTCTGTTCTCCCATTTCCCTCATTCTCCCATTGTCCTTTCCCATTTCTCAATCGTCTTTTCTTAATATGTAGTTGAATTTATTGTGTATTTCAGAATCAATAAATGTTTTTAAATGCTTGCTGCCCTAACGGGCAGCGGACCCTCGAAAGCACGTGACAGCCACGCGAGTTTCCAAATCGAGCTTTAAGCGAGGTAAGCGAAAACCACATGGCATTTAGCGTGTCTAAGCGACCCAAGCGAAAACCACGCGAGCGTCCGTCCCTTCCCGCAACCGTTCTCCCTTACTTTATAGATTTATAGATTATAGATAACAACACGCATGCATTCAGGTTAGCTTTTCTATCTTTGGTGTTCAGATATGAAGTGGAATAAATGTAAACAGATTATTGTGATCAGGATGGTGCGTCACAGCCGTCGACTCGAATGTTTATTGATTTGTCTCAGAGCATCACTTTTGTATGCTGCGACAAGTTGCTTTTCCAGACGACGATTTAAAGCTGATGATATGAAGGATTGTTGCGGCGATCCCTGATCCGTTAGCTGGACCTAAAGGTGTTCGAATGATGCTTTTCATTCGTAGTATCATTGGGTGCGTGCTGATATACTTGTACGGCCTCGAACTTGTTAATGATCTGTGCCCAGGTTTTTCGGGTTAGCTGGCATGTACTGGTCACTCTAGTACTTGTCTGTTGCAGATGCGACGGTCTTGGTGTTTTTAACACCTCTCACGGCAGCGGTGGCTGGATCTGTATTTTTGAAGGAGAGCTACTCCGTCAAGCAAGCTGTGACGGGAGGTGAGAGTTATGATTTGCCTTTTATAGGTTATGATTAATTTTCAGCCTACTCGGTGTTGTCCTCATAGGCAGGCCCGCATTCCTATTTGGCCCCCTGAATGCTATTCCTCAAGGACTCCCAGACGTGGCATTTGCGCAAAGGCTGGCGGGTGTTGGGTGGGCACTGCATTCTGTCCCGCTTAACTTATAATTTATCTATTTCCGGCAGAGCGCGTATGGTTTGCGTGCTTGGAATTACTGGAGCATGTACGTATTGTTATGAAGTCTCTGAGCTCTCGTGGTAATGACCGCTTTAATGGTTTTGATAGATACATTGATTCGTGCAATTGGGATTCGGGAAACGCGCTCACCCGATGCATGTAATGAGATACTTTTCATCATGGTGCACAATTATATCATCTTTGGGGTGTGTCAATGTATCGCTGCATTTTACGTGTCAATTTATCATCTGTAACAGGATGGTTGTCTTCGATATTCCCGTTGTATATCCTACATCATGAATGTGGATGCCTCTTCTGCTCATGGTTAATGTCTTCGGCTTTGCAGCGCAGGTGCGCATACCAACTTGAACGACGCTACATTTGCTTACTGGTAATTTTAGACTCTTTTGACGATGAGACTACGGCGAGAAACTTTGTCACGTGGTGTCACTGAAATGTATGCTCAGTTGGTTTTTGCTGTGGTGCTCGAACGCCTATTCTTCGGAGTTATATCGTTTTTACTGTCAGTTCTTGGTGCCGCTGTCATCATGTCTTCTTCTCTATGTCATCGTGGGTGTGGTCACTATGCTTGTTGTTATCAAATTTCTGTGCTAATGTAGATTTCACCCACCAGATGAAAAAAAAAAAACAGAAGCATCATCAAGACAGTGCCGCTGACAATACTGCAATATAACTTTGTGTGCCCTTGCCCACCATTGATGTCTTGCACTCTTTAAAAAATACTTCAGCAGTTGTATATACCACGACCATTGTCATGTTTCTCATTCAAGTTTCACTATCTGCAATTTACAAAACATGAATGTGCACCACCAGGAATACCGTTTTCTGAGTTGATGGACTCCTGTCTAGTGCTAAATTCGAGGGTGGTCCGATTCTACTCCGTCCCTTGAACTAAAAATAGTGCTCGGAAGGCCGGTAGCTAAATTTGGATTGCCAACTTTTGTTGCCAAATATCCCGGTACGATTTTAATATCACTTGACTCGAGCGGTTACACATATATAAGCATTACATTTACTAGTAGTGCGACGTTCACAGGCTGAACTCGGCGAGACGAAGCTCAAAAATGATCAACAGCAAGTCTCCTCTCGTTCACACCACTGTAGTTCATGACTATGGTTCTACAACCATACACTTCTGCCAGCACGTCCCAAGATGATGGAGCAATCAATAGACGACTCAAGGTCCAAGGGTTCATCGCCAATAATGCCGGGATGCTATACATTATAGCTTCCCAGTTTTTTTTCGCTCTCATGAATCTGTCGGTGAAGATGTTGAACAGCTTGGAGCCTCCGGTGCACGCATTTGAAGTTAGCTTTGTTTCTTTATCTCTATTCCCCGAATGGAATGAATGTCAACACAACAGGTTATTGTAGTCAGGATGGTGCGTCAAAGTATTTTGATGCACTGCTCTCATTTGAATATCGATTCGTCCTCAGGGTATCACATTCACGTGCTGTGTGATATACATGTATGTCGTTGCTTTTCAGATAATAATACCCTGCGATTGACGACATGAAGGGTTGTCACAAAGGTCCCTGATCCAATCTTTGGCCCAGAGGTGTTTCGAATGCTATTGATAATCCGTGGGATCACCGGGTGGGCATTTATCTGCACGCATAACCTCAATTTTTGGTGATCGTTTCATTGCTCAGGTTTTTTGGATTATGTGGACTGTATATGTCGCTTCAGTATCTATCTGTTGCAGATGCGACAGTCCTGACTTTCTTGACACCTCTTACAACGGCGATCACTGGGTGCCTCCTCCTTAGGGAGGGCTACTCCGTCATTCAAGCTGTCGCGGGAGGTGAGAGTTATGCTCTGACTCCTCTTGTCTATGGATACTTAGAGAGATGTTACTAGTTTTCAGCTTACTTGTGTTGTCCTCATCGCTCGCCCCCATTTCTATTCAAGTTCGTGCCAGGCGCTAATCCCGACGGATCCTACTTCTCGGATACAACTCCGGTGCAAAGGCTTGCTGGCATTGGGTGAATATTGTTGTTTGTACACCGTTCCCCCCATTTTACCATTCGATGTTCTATAGCGCAGGTATGATCGGTGTTGTTGGAGGCCACTGGGGCATGTATGTATGTGATTGACCTTGTCATGGTAAGGACTACTAAAACGGTTTTAAAAGATACATCGATTCGCGCAATTGGGAAGCGAGCTCATCCGATGCATGTAATGACATTCTTTTCCTTGTGGTGCACCATCATCGCATATTTGGGGTTCGCACATACATCCATGCATATTTAACTGTTGCATTGATCATTCGCTCATGTAACAGGATGGTCGTCTTCGAGATTCCTGTTGTATATCCTAGATCATGGAGATGGTCACTTCTTTTGCTCATGATTGGTGTCTTTGGCTTCCTAGCACAGGTCAGTCACTAGTGATCCTCCATTGTCTGCATGTAATTCACTACCTTTCCAGGCTCTCTTGACATTGGGGTTGCGGCGAGAAACTGTATCACGCGGTTCTACTGGGGTGTATATCCAGATAATTTTTGCTGTAGTGCTTGAACGCCTAATCTTCGGAGTTGTGCCGTCTTTACTGTCAGTTATCGGGGCCGCTATCATTGTGTCTTGTGCTGTCTGTGTCGTTGTGCGTGATATCGTGTTCTGTTCCATGACTCACTTACTCATCTTACTACCAGTCGACAAAGCCAGTACCTACCCCTGCCAATACCGTTGACAGTACGGCGTAACATATCGGAACTCTTGAACTTTCGCAGGTCCATATAAAGCCTGTAATTGCTCTCATACTCTTGTAGCGCTTTTAATTTTTTGCGTTCGTTCATCTACCTTCAGACAAAAGTCTGAACGCCGAGATTGACGACATCACTTACTAGTTCTCACTTATCTGCTAAATGCAGTCTGCGCATCAGGAAACCCACTGCTGGGCCAAGTGACTTGTAGCAACGCGTAGCGCAGCGCTTCTTTTGAACCGACTGTGGTAGCCTCATCAGCAAATCATCGAGTGCCTTTTTTGTACCTTAAATTATTTAAAAATACCAGGGGACATTGACGGGGACGGTTCGGTTGGTGCAGAAAAAGGAAAGCCTATGTGTGACCTTTATACAGCAGGAAGATTTTGGAATTTTGTAGACTCCTCACTTGCAAGCGCTCGTAAGGCTGCGAAGGAGCAGGTGGTCTAGCATATGAGAAAGCATATAGCAAGTAGGTTTCTTGTTATCATACCTTGCGCTTTGTCACTGATTATTGGGTAGCATCCTTGTCCAGTATCTACAACACGATCTTTCTGATTTCCCTGGAAATACCAAAGTTCCAGCGTTTCTCTCCACCAACCGCCCCCAGTAGCAATTAACAGTCTCGACTATTCAGAACCAACTCCTCTGCAAATTGGAACCACACCTAAAACGCTCGTTCATACTCTGGCTCGCATATTTAGATAAATCGATATTTTCTAAACCGTATTAATCTTGCCAGTATGATACTGTATCTACTATCCGCCAGTAATGCAATGTTTCGTGGACCTACTTTTGGGACTGGCAGTTGGTAGCCGTAGTAGTGTAGCAAAAAAGAAAATCTGAAAGAAGGCACCGGAGCCGGAGTATCTAGTTATGTGGTATAAGGAGAAAGGCCACGCCAGGGTTGCGTCTTACTTCGCTTCCGGATAGAATACAACTTCATGTACGTCTGTATGTGCAGGTGAACGTTCCATAGCCTGAGATAACATGTCAATAGAAATCCTTTGCGGGTAGCGGGCCCGGACATCAATACTACATAAGAATGAACCACAGAATTCCGCTATCCACACATGGAAGAGACATAAAGCGACAAAGCAGGCAGACGGGAACCATGCAAGTTGGAAAAATTGGTGTCACAGTCAGAGTGAAGTGCCAAGCGAGACGTTTTCACAGAGCAGTCTGGGCGGTGGGTTGACCCCTCGAACAAATGCTGCAGGTCTTGACATGAGTGCAAACAAATGTTGAAAAATGACAAAAAAAACGCAAAGGGAAAATTCAGACCTGGGGCCCATCAGCGGCGCTACGAAAATAGTCGACATTCGTCTCCGTAGACGTAAATTTGTGGGCGCTCTTGTGCAGTTGTGTAAGTAGTGAGAACGAAGGAAAAAATAGTGACCCAATCTGTGTAAAAGTGAGCTAAGGTGAGCTGTGATTCCCACCTTAGTAAAAGTAAATGCGACGCAGCGAAGTCAGATCCCCATAGGAGCCGCGAGGCATCCCCATGAGCACAAGTGCAAGCATCGTGTCACTGTCAATGCAGGGGTGAGTGTCAGTGTGAGCGTCTGCGTCCATGCAGGCCCATTTGGGTTCACAAAAGTGCAGGAATCCACGTACGCAAGGCGGCAAGTGTTGAGTCTCATTCGCCACAGGCACAAGGTGTCATGGATCTCCTCCTTATCAGGTTCTCTGGCCCGGGTAAGAAGCCCAACGACCAACGAGAGTTCATCACGAGGGTGAACTTCCTACACGTAAAACAGTACCATAGCACCTTAGAGTCCCTGCCGAACTTGCTGTCATTGCATGCGGATGCCATGGATCTAGACCCATCAGAGCTTACCGGTGTTTGTAGCAGAAAAGAAATCTGGAAGGCGGAACTTGCCGGAGTGTAAGTCTGAGAGTCATGTAGTAAGAGAGAACCGCACAGCCGCTGCGTCGTACTTGGTTTCCGGGTAGAATTCGTCTGTAACACCATCCTCATCTAGCGTCGTCTTTCTATGTCTATTCAATCTCACCTCGCCCGGGCTCAGACCTTAAGGCCATGAGGGTTCAAGTTAGCCAGCTAGGTTATAGTGTGGTGGTACCTATCTCAGGGCGGCGCCATACTGGCGGGGTGCCACAGCCTTAGCTAATGATGCGCTGGTATGATCTTTAATACCAAATCAACCAGAAGAAGCGCTCTCATTGTAGCCTCATGCCTTATCCTACTAGTCAACAAGCCACCTTATCAACAGGATTTCACGTAGTATTATGTGTTACGTCTTTCATTCAACTCGTTCCCTCATACCACCATGATTGCGCGGCAGGATGACGAGGAGATACCTTTTCTGCATCGAGCGGAGCAGCCAACGACCAAGACACCCCTGCCCTGGGATCAATTTTGGATCGTACTGTTATTGGAAATGCCAGATCTTCTTTCTTCTCATACCCTTACCCCGTTTATTCCCCAAGTGAGTACATTTCCTTTGCTTGGAATTATATGTGACCAAAATTTGAATTGGAACTTTGTCAAGCTCATTAGAGATATTGGAGTGACAAACGGAGACGAATCCCAAGTTGGTCACTATGTCGGCATCCTTGTGAGCATGTCTTCGTCGTTTTTGCCATTGTATTCGTTCCTGATAACATCTCGAGCAATCATCATACTATGTAGCTCACGCACTGACTGTTTTCCATTGGAGTCAGCTGTCTGATCATATCGGGCGGAAGCCTGTAATGCTGATAGCATTGTCAGCACTATCTGTTTCGATGTTTTTGTTTGGGTTGTCGAAGACATTCCTTGGTCTGGTGGTTAGGTGAGCGTGTTCATCAGACGGTAGTTGTGACCATTGATTACTGATATTCTTGACTAGTCGTGTTGTCTGTGGAGCATTTGATCCGAGCATTGGTGTCATCAAGAGCGTGCTGATGGACATTACCGACGCAACCAATATGCCCAACGCATACAACTACATGCCACTTACGTGGATGACTGCAAACGCAGTTGGGTAGGGATACAGTACATGTTCTCTCGCACCGAGGTTGACGGCATTTAGACCACTCATTGGGGGCTCGCTCTCCCGACCAGCAGACAGATTTCCTGACATCTTCGGGCGATCAGAACTCCTGAAAACCTACCCATATCTTCTGCCATGCTCTGTTTCGGCATTTTTCACACTGATAGCTTGGCTAGCCACGTATTTCTGCCTCAAGGAGGTGAGTGTGATGCTGTAAACCCATCTCTGGACCATACTAAGCGTGGTCACAAGAGCGTTTCTACAAGGACGCCGCTTTGGAAGCTAATAAAAAGAAGATTCCTGCGACAGTCATATTCAAAGCCTCACCGGACATCGAGCAGTATTATAGTTGATCCTGGGGAAGCGAATTCCGGAGAAGTTCAATCAAAGCCGCTTCCGCTGCGTGACTTGCTAACCTCGAGAGTGTTGAGCATAACAGCAAATTACGCCACTACAGGCCTGCTTCAAGCAGCGTTTGCTTTGGTCCAACCTCTTTTTTTTGCGACATCGATTGAACTTGGCGGTCTTTCCCTCGACCCTCCTCGCATCGGCGCTTTACTTGCGGCACAAAGCGTCGCACATGGTATATGTCAGCTACTTTTCTTCACCCGTTTACATGATCGCTTCGGCGCAGGAGCTGTATATTTCACCGGCGTTAGCTTCGGCATACCCATCGTCATTTTATTTCCAGTGATCAATGCTCTAGCTCGAGCCTATGGGATAGGTATGGCGGTGTGGCTGTGCGTCGCCGTCCAGTTTATACTGAAGACTAGCCTGTTCATGTGCTACTGTATGTCGATACAGCACTTCCTGCATTCTGCTGAACTGAAAACATCCCAAAGCTTGTCTGGCATTATTCGTCAGAACAGCTGCACCCAATCGCGCCTCGGTCGGAGCTACCAGTGGAATTATCCAGACAGTTGCTGCACTAGCCAAAATCTTTGGCCCGGCGTCTGCAGCTTCGGTCTTCTCTTATTCATTGCAGGAAGGGCATAATACGTGGTTGATATATTACTTCTTGATCGCAATCGCATTTCTCGCAGTCGGTGCTGCTCTATTGCTTCCCCGTGATCCTAGTGTATGGGAAGATCACCGAGCATATCATTGCGAATGACCCAGCGTAGGGAGGGAACTGGCAAAACTGTAGGCTACTATCGGCTATCACGACTTCGTACGACCGCTGGTTCGGATACATACTTTGTAATATCTCACTCAACTCTGCTTCGAATCGTATTCTGCCCTACCACATATCATTGTACACTATTGCGAAGTTGAATCTTTGAAATCGGTGTGATGGAGCTAAATTAGCTCTCGACAAAAGTGCGATCAACTTGACCAATGCAATGTATCAAGTCGACAACATGTAATGTTTTTACCATGCGATGAGTGTCGTTGAAGATTACTCGATATCAGCTATTTTAGCCGTTTTGGCCATGTCCCTGAGCTCACCGGTGTTAGTTATGTGGTAAAGTATTGGTAAGGCCACGCCCTGCACAGCCGTTGCATCCTACTTCATTTCCGGGTAGAATTCCAATTCATGTGCGTCTATAACACCATCCTCATCTAGCGTCGTCTTTCTATGTCTAATCTCACCTTGCACGGGTCCCGACCTTAGGCCATGAGGGTTCAAATTAGCCAGCTAGGTTACAGTGTAGTGCCTGGCCATACTGGTGGGGTGTCACAGCCTGATGGGATGTGCCGGTATGATCTTTAATCATGCCAAGTCAACTGACCAGAAGAAGCGCGCTTATTGCAGCCTCATGCCTTATCCTACTAGCCAACAAGCCGCTCAGGAACCGCCTTATCGGAACGAGTTCACATATTAGTATGATGAAGTGCATCTTTCATTCAAGTCGTTCCCTCGTACCACCATGATTGCGCCGCAGGATGACGAGGAGACACCTTTTCTGCATCGAGCGGAGCAGCCAACGACCAAGACACCTCTGCCCTGGAATCAATTTTGGATCGTACTGTTATTGGACATGCCAGATCCTGTTTCTTCTTATACCCTTGCCCCGTTTATTCCCCAAGTGAGTACATTTCCTTTGCTTGGACTTATATGTGACTAAAGCTTGAATTGGAACTTTGCCAAGCTTATTAAAGATATTGGAGTGACGAACGGAGACGAATCCCAAGTTGGTCACTATGTCGGCATCCTTGTGAGCATGTCTTCATCGTTCTTGCCCTTGTATTCGTTCCTGATATTATCTCAAGCAATCATCATACTATGCAGCTCACGCACTAACTGTTTTTAATTTGAGCCAACTGTCTGATCATATTGGGCGGAAGCCTGTAATGCTGATAGCATTGTCAGCACTATCTGTTTCGATGTTTTCGTTTGGGCTGTCGAAGACATTCCTTGGTCTGGTTGTTAGGTGAGCGTGTTCATTCAAATATCAGATGGTAGTTATTGGCCATCGATTGCTGATACTCTTGACCAGTCGTGTTATCTGTGGAACATTTGATGCTAGCAATAGTGTCATGAAGAGCGTGCTTATCGACATCACCGACGCAACCAATATGCCCAAGGCATTCAATTATATGCCAATTCCGTGGATGATCGCAAGCACACTTGGGTAGGGATACAGTACATTTTCTCGCGCACTGAGGTTGACGGCATCTAGACCACTCATTGGGGGATCGCTCTCCCGACCAGCGGACAGATTCCCTGACATCTTCGGGCGATCAGAACTCCTCAAAACCTACCCATATCTTCTGCCGTGCTCTATTTCGGCTTCTTTCATATTGATAGCTTGGCTAGTCACGTATTTCTGTCTCAAAGAGGTGAGCGTGATGCTGTAAACCCATCTCTGGATCACACTAAGCGTGGTCACCAGAGCGCTTCTACAAGGACGCCGCTATGGGAGCTAATCAAAGGAAGATTCCTGCGACAGTCATATTCAAAACCTCACCAGACATCGAACAGTATTATTGTTGATCCTGGGGAAGCGGATTCCGGAGAAGTCCAAGCAAAGCCGCTTCCGCTGCGTGACTTGCTGACCCCGAAAAGTGTTGAGCATAAAGCAAGTTATG